AACCACATAGCTCTGGTTGTCAGCCAAAAAATATCAGTAAAAGACACTCTCGTCAACCCTGGCCTAGTGGAAATATAAATGATAGATGATGATTCAGTTTAAGATGGTGAAATAAAAGCACTTATAATTTACTGCTCTCCGATGAAATACTTCCAAAAATAACATAAATAATAAAAAAAATGAAAAAAAAAGAAAATGAAACCACATGTGTAATTATAAGTAATTGGCAACAAATTATGATAAATAGCTTTCAAACAGGGACATATTTTGCACTAACAGGAGAAAAGACATTCACTGGCACATATCTTGGGTAGAATGTAGTTTACACAAAGTGTCATAGTTCTGAGACATTCTTCAAAGACTGTTTGAAGCCTCCGTGAGATGGAAAGTGGACAGGCAAGAGAAAAACAAAATCTGTCTCCAGAGAATTCCAATTATATATCTCCAAATGGTGGAATATGGGGATAAGGAAAAAAATGCTGACAGACTACATTTGATAGTTGTGAAACAGCCTGCTGGATAATCCAGACGACTAGCATTTAAGTGTGAGATGGGAGGGAGAGGAGACAATCACTAGAGGGCTAACAACACAGAGAAAGTAAAACTGAGGGAGTTTTACATTGTGAGCCACGTGGAGCACCGAATGTCAAAAATAGAGAAAAATATGGTCCCTGGGCAGAAACTAAAACAGATTTGGGGAGGTGGGCTTGAAACCTGAAACTTAAATAGCTACTGTGGGCTGCTCTGATTCATTCTCCCACCACTGCCCACATAGAGTTCAGTAAATAGCTGGCTTCATTCAGTGATTAATAGAAAGAAATCAGCCTGAAACATAGGCAAAGGAAGCAAAAACGCAATGAAAAAGCAAAGGAAGTTCATACCAGAGACCATTTTTTTTTTTTTCAGGAAACAGAGGAAAAGTTTATATAAGTACTTACTTATAGTCTCAAATAAATTATAGGCATGATCTCATTAATATTAGAGTGAAAAGCTCAAAGAAAAGATGCATTTTAATAGATTGTAAAAGTAGTAGAAAGAAATGAAAAAATGAAATGGCACAGACCAAGAAAGCAATGGAAAAAATAAAACCATTATGAAGTTAAAAATTACATAAGAGGTCACAAAATAGAATAAACACAACTGAATACTCACTTGGGTTAGGGTTGACAAAAGTTGACAACAAATTTAAAAATTCAAAATTGATGATAAAGAATATTATAAATAGTTATACAGGCAAAAGAGATTTAACACAATTAGCATTTGGAAAGAAAAATTACTTAGACACACCATAGGATAAAAACTTTCCTGAAATAAAGACTGAAATGTGGAATAAAAAGACATGTGTTGCTTGATTCAACACTAACTTTCAACAATCTCTCCAGTTTTACCATAGTTTTTTTCCATCTTATATTTAGATAACATAAATTTAATGGTTTTTACATTATTTAACAACTTTCACATGTGAAATACTTGACTCCTAAATTTATGAAATTCTGTCTTTCGATCGCTCTATTCTTCTATACAAACACGTATCTCTACAGAAGTAGCTGGCATGATGTTCACGAAATATTAACACTTTCTTGGTGGTGGAAATGTTGAGACTGTACATTTCTGCAATGCCTGCCTTCACTTTTAACAATTATGTATCATTTCCACAAATGACAATGAAGTCATTGGGATTTAAAAAAAGAAATGAAATGCAAAGATGAACTGAGAGAGAAAAGAAAAATGAGACTTCTCAATTCTTGTACTGTTGCCAGATTCATGGCCCTTCCTTCCACAGCTCATCCAGCAATCAAGTGATTTCTCTAAAATAGAAGCCTGGCATATTCATTTTCATCTTATTATACTGCAAGATTTTCAATAAATTGCCACTAATCCAGGATCAAACCCGATCTGTCTAATTTACACAAAACTCTCTAATCCAGTCCCAACAGGTCTTTCCTACATGAACATCTTTCACTTTCCTTAACTCACCTTCTTCCTATTACCTGGAACCACTAGTGGTAAGAGTTCCTCATGTTTCAGGTGGTGGGAAAAAATGTGCTGTTTGTTTGTGTTTGTTTGTTTGTTTGTAGAAGTAGGCAAAGGGGCTGGAACTCCAAATTTTTCCACACAATTCAGTTCAATATCATCTCTGTGAAGCCTTCCCTGCCATCACTCTTTTTTCCACACTATGAACCAAGTTAAAAAATTATGTGCATCCTTTTCCACCCTCTGTATCAGCACCATGCTGCACAATAGTAAAGCCTGATGCAAAAGAAAAAAAATATTAATACTGATCCTATATTTACTTAAAATTTGGGTATTTTGTTAATCATAGGTTTTTGCATCAAGTTTGATTTTTTTAAATACTCTTTCAAAATAGCATTTATCCTGATTACTGATTTCTATATATTTTTTTTGTTTCAGGTGAGGGCTCACGCATATCACCCTAGTTTTAGCCCTCCTCTATACTACTGAAGCACTTACTACAATCCATAGCTACTCATCTACACATCTATTATCACTACCAGACTGGGACCACATAAAAGGAAAGGAACCAGTTTCATTTCTCTATGTATATCTAAAAATCAGCACAGTCCCTAAAATGGAGCAGGAACCCATTTAGCAAAGATGAATAACAACCCAGAAAAGAGAAATGACCAATTTTTTTTTAGTTTTTAAGAGTAAAATCTTCCACAGAGAAGAAAATATCTAATCTAAATGGAGAGGGGTTGGTTGGTTGGTTTGTTTTGTTTTTGTTCTTTTTTTAAGGTCAGGGAACTGTCGTTTAATTCAAGTCACGAACTTGGAGTAATTAAGCAGTGAAACCAAATCAGTTTCTTTTCCCCCATAAACATCTATTTGTGGCACAAAGTATTGAGTGTACCTATTCTAATATATTGAGTGTAATCCATTCTAAGAATATGCCTGTATTTAGTGTACTATGAGAAGCAGAAAATATTAAAATTAAAAGAAAGCTTAGATTATTTAATCCTCCCATTCTCTTATACATAAGGAATCAAGCCTAGCAAGGTTAAGTGACTCGTTTAAAACCACAATAGAGTCAGAACTTGAAATTAGGTCACCCATTTCTCCACCCGGTGTTTTTGTCACTGGAGGTTTTTTTCACAAATCTAGAAGAGGGGACCATTGGAAAATGGGAGAGTGGGGAGTGGGGATTTTTTTCTAGGTCAGGCAGAATTGACCAGTTCATGGGTAAAATAAGTCACAAGCAATATCATACTTACTGCTTGAACCATGGTCACTGCTAAGGTGATGTGGTTGAAAAATGACCTTTCAAAGTTAATTCCAGCCCCTTGCTGTAGTCTTTGTCACTGGCTTCTCTATGATTCATTTCCATCGGTAAGAGAGTGACTCTACTTTCTGCCTACTCTAATTCAAGGTTTGTGGGGTCCGATTTAAAATATACACTGTTCAAATACTCTGTATATTAACAAGAGCAAGTCATTTTTAGCTGCAGATTAATCATATAAATATATTATTATACCTAGTCATGCCTGGAGTAAATTGGAAGTAATTATGTAGGAGTTAGTAACCAACTTGGAGTTGAAAGCTAGAAAATAGTTATTGGTTCTGAATAAGAAAATTCTGAATTTCATCTTTAAAAGATAGAGCCATACAAAGTCACCATTCTGAGCCAGAATTCTTCACAAATTACCAAGACTCTGAGCGCTCCTAATGACTCTTGCAAGATTTGCTCGTGGTGAAAAGTGACTGGTCCTTCATAAAAGTGTTTTGTTTAATGTAGCTATGAGTTATTAGAGAGATAGGAATGAAGACCAAAATAAAATATTTAACTATGACTTAATTTGATGAAATGCAGTTAGGGAAAATAAAATATGCATTATTATTATTGTTACTGTTGTGAACATTGTGTACAAATGAAATAATCCCTTTTTGTACTAGTCATTAGACTTCCTTTCTGATCAATTTATTCTTTAAATTAACAATTAAGAATCCTTGGTTAGGGATTCCTGGGTGGCTCAGTCGGTGAAGCGTCCAACTCCAGCTGGGGTCATGATCTCACAGCTTGTGGGGTCAAGCCCCTGGTTGGGCTCTGTGCTGACAGCTTGGAACCTGGACCCTGCTTTGGATTCTGTGTCTTCTTCTTTCTCTGCCCCTCCCCTGCTCCTGCTCTGTCTCTCAAAAATAAGTAAACATTAAAAAATTAAAAAAAAAAAGTAATCCTTGGTTAATTTTGCCCTTTCTCTTTGTTGGGCCACCTGACTTGTCCTAAAATCTTCTTCACAAACAAAGAGAAAAAACCATAGGCTCACCTGGATCCCTTGTCTACAAATCTAATATCATTGATTTTTATCCCTTTAAAATCTGTAAAATTTATAGAAGAATTTATTTTTTAAAAAGGAAGCCAATAAGATATTTCTTAAGAATAGGCCAATGAATAAGTAAGGAGTATATTCTTCACTAAAGAAATAAGGTCTTTTCATTGGAATAATAAACAATCATAGCTTCCAACCACAATTTCAAGAATTGTCCTCAAGGCTAGAAATCTACTTACATTCATAAAATAATTTGTGATAAGCTTTTCTATACAAGTACTACTCTTCATTAAATATTTACATATGTACAAATTTTATTTGGCCTCATATTACTGGTATCAATTTATAAATGAGGGCTTGGATTGGATGAATTCCAAAGCATCTTTCAGCCTTAAAATTGTTAGTGATTCTAGGATATACCTAGAGTGATAGCAAAAAAAGGTATCCTCAGATATGACTCACAATATTTGGCATTTGCACATTTTACAGTTCTCATATACAATCATTCCAAGGCAATGTAATAACTGAAAGACTAATGTCAATTAATTAATATTTCTTTTCTAAAAATAAGAGATTTTTGCTTGGAAAGTGGCCATTTTTATCAAAATGTTCCCCCAAACATCCAGAATACATTCATTCACACAACCTAGATCAGGAAAAAAAGAAGAATAGAAGAAAAATCTGGAAGCAACAAAACAAAAAACTAGACCTAGATTTAGTGTCATAAGACAGCTGCAAGAAATTTAATTAAGTTGTTAAGCCTACCTAATGAAAAAGAAAAGTCAGTACATGAAAATCCTGATAAATTGCATTAACAGAGTCAGCAGAATCCTACCCCTTGGCTATGAGTTTTCTTCTTTACTCCATTCCTCAGCTACTCTTTTAATTTTAAAATACTCACCCTAGTTGTGATACTGTACAAAACCTGCCCCCCCAAAACACTAAACTTCCCAAAAATACAAAACTACAGACACAAAAACTTCCCGGAAGATTAGCATTTCACCAGCCAAAATAGATCTATGTTTGGAAAAGCATCTAAAAGGCCTTGTATTGAGTTCCTAATTTTGATGATTCTGATCAAATTCTATCCTACTATTCTGATCAAATTTGAGACAGATAATTTATAGGATCTTACAGTGCCCAGAGTTTTATTCTCTGGTAGGCAGTGCTTCTTACTTAGAGAACCATCTGTACACATTTTCCTATATTTTGAAGTCAATTGCTAAGGTTGTGCTAACGTGTTACCCTCTATCGGTATAGGAGAAACAGATGTTTTCAATATGTTGTCAGACTCTAAATAAATTTCTTCCATTAAAGAATGCAATGTTCTCTGCTAGTTTATGGTTCATTAGCATGCATTGACTGTTCTACTATTCAAGTAATATCATAGGTTAAGGTGAAAGAGCTTTCCTAGAGAGACAGTGTCTAGCATAGTGCATGGAACACAGTAGGCTCTGAATAACTATATGTTGAAATAATACATAACTGAATGAACTACTGTCAAAAAGAATTCATACAAGGAGTTAAACTTTGGCTCAAAGCACAGATTTTTCAAGTCAAGTGTTTTAAGTCCTGTTTGACCAACATAAGACAGGGAACATGTCTTCGCTGGCCTTTGTTTTTGTTTTTTGACGCAGCAGAGGTTTCACTCTATTAGTCAGTATTTGTTTTGTTCCATTTTCCTTTTAAAAAATGTTTCATGTAACAGAGAAAGTCCTTTTCTTGCTGATACTAGAAGAATCTCCAAAGGTCACCGCATAGGATATCCAATAAACAATTCTGATTAAGGGCAGCGCCACTGGGAAATTTAGGGTTGTTGGTTGATATTCATAGTGTATATTTAAAAATGTCATAGTCTATTTTCAAATTCCAATGCATAAATATGAACCATGTATCTCTAATAGCCCTATTTCTCTTGTCCCAACTTTCCAGGATGGTCTGTATTTCATCTAATTTGAATGCTGAATTGATTCTATTCAAATCATTTTTCTGAAATGAAAGATGGCTCACTCTCTCTTCACTGAGGGATGGATTAACTCTCCCAATAACTGGCTTGGATTGTTTTTGAATGTAAAAATTACATAGGCTTTTTATTTTAATAAAGAATAATGGTTTATCTTTAAAAACATGTAAAAAGGCATTCTGTATTAAGGTCATCATCTTTTAGGAAACTATTCTAGCGACAAAATTACATTAGACTTTCTGATTTCTCCATAGTGTCCTTAGATAAATAAACAACCCAATATACCATGTTAAATGCCCCGAATGTTACTGGAAAGAGAATACGGGCATATTTGTCTATTTTGCTTGTGCCAGACCCAGACGGCGGTGGGGCAGAAGGAGGAGTAGTTGCTGACAACTTCCCAGAAGCCCCTGTGGTATTAACAGTGGTCTTAATTCGCTCCAGTCTTGATCCAAACACACGCTGGGTAGAAGCAGGTCCAGCAGAAGCCTGTTGGGGCACGTCCCCAGTTCTCCCAGGAGTAGAGGGAGGAGCAGAGAGAGGTGCTCTTGCAGCAGATATTGTTTCGGCTGCATTCGCATGGCTGAATGGGTTTGGACTGGAAGCTAAGTAAGACTGCGATGTGCCTTCAGAAGATCCTGGAATAACTGTGGAGGATTTGCTCGAATGGTTTCCCACCTCAGTTCTGTTGCCAGCATCAGATTCAGAGTGAACCAAGGCATTTGTTCTTTTTCTCATATTCAGATTGGCATTTGTGTTCTGAAAAGGTATATTAAAAATTACAATGATTATGTCATCCTATGTAAATTAATACAAAATTAAAGGGAACAAATAACTAAAATTAGTTGTTTCTATGATATAAATGTTTACTCATATACGATATCCATTCAGCTTACTGTAAAAGCTTAAAAATACCTAAGGAAAAAAAAAACATGAATACATTTGAAAGTGAATCCAAAATCTTCTATTTCAAAATATTTCCAGTCTTATAAATGGTCAGAAGTCAAATCTATAGAAAGATTTGGCTATTAGAGCTCTAAACTAGAGTTATGCTTGATTTTATTTGAGAAGTTCATGAAGATAGCGATACAACTTTCTTCAGTTTTATTGTAAATGATATTTTGTGATAGGTTGTATACACTTCAATGAGTTTTATATATGACTGTTTTATAAACAGCAAGAACTGTACTTACTCTTGTGCACAGAAAAACAATAACAACCATATATATGTGCATGACATTCCTTGAAAAAAGGAAACTCCAAAAGCTTAAATTTCCAAATCCCTGAAACTTATTTTCATAATCTTACATGGACGCACACACATTATTATAAAACCTGGAAGGCCTAATGCGTTTTATTTTTTCACCACAATAATGAATATACAAAGGAACACTAGTTTTAAACAAAATTTTATATTAGACATATAAACAGCATCACCATATCATTGCATAAATATCTGAATTCAAACTATTTACCAATAAAGAGTATTTAAATCAAAATGGAACTCATCCATTTATTTTCTCATCCCTTTATTTTATGCGTAGAACAAGACTATATTTGAATAAAGATGCATGATAAAGTTTAAAATTAATTCTCCTTATATTCTGACAGGCACGATAAGTAACTGGATAGCCAACTATAGACTGTCCATGCTAATGAAGGAAAATAATTGCTCAAATGATTCCCAAAATAGTCATGTCTGTCTTTAGAATATACCATGAGTTTTTTGCAAAAATGTTTCCTCTTTAATTATGTTTATTCTAAGCTACATTAAGGGTATATTGTAATTACTTTCTATACCTTCTCCTCTTACCATTTTATGAAATAGGTGGTGAGTGAAAAGAGGAGGAAGGAGAAGTGAGAGAGAGAGGAAGAAGACCAGCTCACAGGTGGGTGATTAGAAGGAGACAGCATACAAGAAATGTCACAGATAATATCACATACAATTAACTGAGAGCTCCTTTTACGGAGGAATGTTTATTCTACAAATAGAATCCTTTTTCAATACCACACCCAATAACTAGGTTGAATGTGTTTAATCCATATGTAATATATTTGTGAATTATGACTGCGAATTCGCTAAGTAGAGAAAGAGTAAAAGCCCCACAAAATGTAGAGTCAAAGATCTGAGAGGTTTCCAAAGTATTCTTCATGTCAGGCTGGAGTATTCTTCTAAGCAGGTTGCTGTCAAACTCATGAGAAATTGTAGTCTAACATATGACACCTAATTTTGGTGGAGAAAATTGAAACCAAAATCGACATCAACATAAAAGCTAAAGGTACCAGGGGAGCCTGAGTGGCTCAGTCGGTTAAGTGTCCACCTCTTAGTTTCGGCTCAGTCACAATCCCATGGTTTCATGAGTTTCAGCCCCTCATGGGGCTCTGTACTGACAGTGCGGAGTCTGCTTGGGATTCTCTCTTTCTCCTCTTTCTCTGCCCCTCCCCTGCGCATGCTGTCTCTGCCTCTCTCAAAAATAAATAAACTTAAAAAAAAAAGCTGAAGGTAACATTGTTTACCCTGCACTTTTACACTTTTCCTCTACAAAGCACATTGTAAATGTCAATTAATCCTCAGATTTTGAGTCCCTTTTTACGTAAAGGAATAATGTTAATTGATTAACATTAACTTTGAAATGTCATACACACAGTGAAGAATATACGGAAGGATAAGTTATATCCACAACATTAAGAGAGCTAACCCTATCATTGACAAGATGCATACCCACACACAATACAATCAAAAATATAACAAAAAGTAAAATATAGTGAAGATCAAACTGTAGTAAAATGATGAATATATTAAGGGAAGGGAAGAGAGTAAGAAAGGATCAATTAAACAAACAGGAAAGAAACATATTTTTCAAGTATAATCTGATATTTGCATAATGTCTTCTTCCACCAGAAGTTAGGTTGCCCCAAATCTTTAAAAACTCATATTAATCCAAAAACTAAATTCAAAGAATTAGAGATTTCTACTTCTGGTCAAAATGGAGTAAGAGGGACTGAATTTACTCTCCTGTATAAATGACAAAAAAAAAAAAAAAAAAAAAAAAAAAAAAAAAAAAAAGAAAGAAAGAAAGAAAAGAAAAGAAAATCTGGACAAAATATGTCAAACAATTATTTTTTGAAGACTCTGAGCCCTGGATGACATAAAATCATAATCATCAAGAGAGAAGAAACAAACTTGAAAGTGTTTCCATGCTGTGGTAGAGGAGAGGAGAATCCAGGAGAAATATGACAGATTCCCTGAACTGAGGAGTTGGAGCTGAAAATCTGGGGAAATCAAGATGGCTAGAATTCACAGGAAAAAGTAACAGAGAAGTGTACATAAATACATACATACATACATACATACATACATACATAATAAGTAAGTAATAAGAGAGAGATAGAACTCCAAAAATCAAGAGAGTAGCCATTGACTATTTTGCTAAGCACAGATCAGTTTGAGAGTGAAGTACTACCTGGCCATAAAAAGAATGCCCTAAAAGGATGAGAAGAAAGTACCTGAAACACAAAGCCAGAAATAATGCCTGTTCCCACCAGTCAGACCGCAAAATCTCACCATTCACGGAGCGCTTGGTAGAGCACTAAGAATGACCTTGCCTCAGTAATATGGAGTAATTAGCCCCAAACCCACAAAACTCTAGTTCTGCTGAATGAATTTTAAAAGTAAGACCTGAAAGAATGAAACTAACTGTAAGTGACTTAGCTGGGCCCCAGAAGAAAGTGCAAGAACATTTATAGGATTCTGTCTTCTTTCCCTCCAGATCAGTATCTTTCTGGAACTTCCTGAAATCCCAAATGTGAATCATGTTCTGTATCTTTGACTAAATACAAAAACTGCACCAATTTTTCCTCCTTCTCCATAGTCATGCCTCATGTGATATGAATTTCCTATTCCTCCCCCATCAAGAGATGGAGTTTATTTCCCCCACAGTCTTCCTTATAACTTTTTTCTGGCCAACAGTATGTCGCAGAAATGATGGTATGCCATTTCTGTCTTAGCCTTAAGACTTCTTGCTTCCACTCTCTTTCAAAACACTGTCATCAACACCACTTGTCAACAACAAGCTAGGACTAGACTGCTGAAAAGATCCTCTGGAGCAGAGCCAGTCACCCCAGTGAGGCTAGCCCAGGTCATCCAACAGCTAGATGACCACTAGACACATGAATTTTCTCAGCTGAGAAAGGATGAACTGCCCAACCAAGCCTAATAAAGATCAACAGAACTTTTCAATTAACTCACAGGCCTGAGATTAAAAGATAATGTTTACGTATGCCACTGAAATTTTGTACTTATTTGTTATGCAGTATTATTGTGGCACTAGATAACATGCTTAGACCAATTAAATCAAGGGTGCTAATATAAGATATTGCCAAACTTCTAGTGAGGAGAACTTCTCAGACATTCTGGGATAAGTGGAAGGCCAACCTACCCAGAATTCATCAAAGACCATTAGGGGGCCCTGTTGCCTAACTACAGACACCAGCTAAAGGACCAAGATATTTTGCCCTTTATAATCCCATTCTTAAAAAACAACTGTATTTTAAAACTGGGAGAAATTCTAAAATTGCAGTTCCTCACTTTACAGTAGAAGACAGTAGAGCAGAGAGGTTATAACTTGCTGGAAGTCATACAGTAAGTGACTTACTGAAGTGTTTTTATCATGTTGTACAGCCCCTCAATAAACAAATGTGGAGGTATTAAAAACTTAACAAACTACACCTATGTATTTGAGTCAGTTAAGTACTTGTAATAGCCAATAACACTGTAAAAAATTTATTCAAGACTTAGGGGTGCCTGGGTGGCTCAGTGGGTTAAGCATCCGACTCTTGGTTTCAGTTCAAGTCATGATCTCACAGTTCCTGGGTTCAAGTCTTTGTCGGGCTCCACGCTGACAGTGCGAAGACTGCTTGGGATTCTCTCTCTCTCCCTCTCTCTACCCCTCCCTGGCTCGCTCTCTCTCTCTCTCTCTCTCTCTCTCTCAAAATAAATAAATAAATGAACTTAAAAAAATGCTTATTCAAGACTTGGAAATCAGAAAGGACTACAGCATATTCTTTCAATGTCATATGGAGCATTGTTTAATAAGCCCACCCAAGGATTATTAAGCATGTAGGGGAATTTACTTGACATTGATTTTGCTATGTAATATTGGATTCAAGTGCAAACACTGTGGACTTTAACTTGTAGACTCCAGTCCAGTACAAAAGATCACTGTTGCCCAGTATGATATTAATTACTTCTATATCTAACCTGGTATTTATCCTAGCACTCTTTTTCTTTAAAGTGACTACTTTTAGTCCTGAAAAATATTTCAAACCAGTTTTACTATTTGTGTGGTTCCCTTATTAATTAATGAGTTGGACAAAACTTTGACAGATGTCCATTTCATGTTTGTATGAGTTCTATTTTCAATGGTTTAAAAATTATATTCAGGCCACATATACTATTATATTCTCATGACATCTACTATCATGACATCTACTATAAATATCACAGAAATTAAGCATAGACTTGAAGAATATGCCTAGAAAAAAAGAACTGACCCAAAGCAAAAGAGATAGGATCAGTCTAAAGTGACTGGAAAAAAAGAATCATAAACACAAGTAGACATTTGACTGATACCACCACTCACCAATCTGGTTCTTCACCTACATTCAAACCACCCTGTTCCAGGAGAAGCTAAGAGTATTGTTTTATTCCTCACCCAAGTGTAGGTATTTATCTGAAGGATACATAAATGCTGATTCGAAGGGGCACATGCACCCCAATGTTTATGTCAACAATAGCCAAATTATGGAAATAGCCCAAATTTCCAGGGACTGGTGAATGGATAAAGAAAATGTGGTATATATATACACAATGGAATACTACTTAGTGATGAAAAAGAATGAAATCTTGCCATTTGCAACAATGTGGATGGAACTAGAGGGTATTATGCTAAGCAAAATAAGTCAGAGAAAGACAGATATCATAGGATTTCACTCATATGTGGAATTTGAGAAACACAGCAGATGAACATAGGGGAAAGGAAGGAAAAATAAGATAAAACCAGAGGGGGAGGCAGACCATAAGAGACTGGAGGGGAGGTGGGTGGGGGGGGTGGGCTAAATGTGTGATGGGCTTTAAGGAGAGCACTTTTCGGGATGCGCACTGGGTGTCATAATGAAGAGATGAATCACTGGGTTCTACTCCTGAAGCCAAAACTACACAGTTAGTTAGTGTTAACTAACTTGAATTTAAATTAAAAAACAAATAGAAAAAAGAATCAAAGAAGCAAGAGACTTTATGAAAATGGAGGGAGCAGCAGGAAGTGTGCCACTAGGATTACCACTCCAAAACAAAGATCAAATCTTTCTGTTTTTTCTCGGTTTAAAAGTATTAGTGAGCTTTTAGACTATAAAGACTACCTTATTAATCACTGTAGGCAAATGCACACAGCAGGCACCTACTTCATTTTTTAATAATTTTTATTGAAATGGATATATTACAGAATCAGGATTCTTTTCAAATGAAAGTAATTGAAGGAAAAGTATCAAAAATGTTCTGACCTCCAGATTATCATTCCATTGCTTATGGAGCAGATTTCTAGACTACTGCAGATACTACCTAAGGTGCATGTCACCCTGATGCAACCCCAGGTCTCACTAAGAATGCCTAAGGTGTCTCAATATTCATATATCAGAACACACATAAAGGAAAGCAGAATTAGACTCACTTGGGGCTTAAATCTTCGCTTTCTGCCAAGTACCCAAACGATACTCAAGTTATTTTGTACCGATTCTCATGGCTACGTAAAAAGTAGTTGTCATTTTCCATGATGACAAACCACAAAAAGAGTGAGAAGTCAACTGACCTACCTGGCACCGGATTCACCAGGAATACTATTCACACAGTCTTCGAACTTTGGAACAACTAACGTGTCAGAGTGATGTAAGGTTGAGACTTGAGTGGCCTCATCACTGTTCAGTCAGTTTTCAGCAGACACACAGTGGTTGCAAACAAGAAAGCACCTAGGCTTCATCTGAATTTTAAAAAATGGTTTAGCTTGAAATCATTTTGTCATTAGTCACAACAGCCCAAAGCAAGGAAACTGGTGGGACAGAGATGCGAGGCAGCAGACTCAAACATTACCAACAAATTCAAGCAGCAACAGGCAAACAGGAGCAAATCCAAGCCATTCATCAATCATGACTGTGATCTGACACGATTTCTAGAGAAGTATTATCAACTGCAAAAAGAAAATTCATCTCAATTTATTACTCTAGCAGCAATGAGATAAAGTGACTAAGGCGAGCTTTGCAGAAGACACGCTACATTCATATGGCTCGCTTGAGAAGCTAATGAAGTTTAATAAAATGTAATTTAACCCTTCTAAATTAAAAACAAACAAGGCTAGTAATGAACATGTTTATCTTCCAGAATATCAATGAGTCAAATATTTAAAAAAAAATCCAATAACGGAAAGACATTTATTCCAGGCCATCTGACAGGGCTGCAGGGGTGAGCCACATATCTTATATAATAAGGAAATAAACAAGTATGGTAGAGCAGCTGAAACTAAACTCCAAGGTAATGATTTACTGAGGACTATCATTAGCGTTTTTAGAAAATGCTGCTGCGTAGAAATGAAAAACATCCCCTCCAAACAAACATGCTAAATATTTCATAAATAGTTACCAGGGGACTCTATCATACATTGAACAGCAAAATGCAGAAAGGAAAATGCTGAGCACTCTATTTATTGTATTTCATTTTCTCCCCATGTTAGCATTTAATTCAATGTTTGTATTTCCATAAGCTATGGAAATACTACTTTCAATATCAGGCACTGGGATAAAGGAAAAAAAAATTATGTCTTCAATTTGAAATTACCAGAGAACAAGAGCTTAAAGGATTCATTCTTTTTCTCTTTACATATTTAGACGTTGAAAGTTTAAAATATTAGGATTTCTTGAAGACATGCAAGGTGGTGGTTACTTTTATTTCCTAGTGATTCCCAGTACTTCTTCCTATTTGTCAAGATTTGTCTATTAAATATATTGCTCTAGCAGAGGAAATCTCTTTGCCAGAGATTTCACTACTTGGAGCAGAAGTTCTCAGCTTGATCAAGTGGACTTGACCAGAACTGCTACCTGGAATTGCTTCAGAAGGTGCATCCACCAATGCTCCCAACATAACCCTAGAGAGGGTAGAGGGCAAAGGACACTCCACTCATTTTATCCGAATGCAAACACTAACCTGCATGAATTTTTTCTTGCTCGTTAACAAGAAGCAGCATTATAGTCATTCTAAATGTTTATAAGAATAATCTGGGAGCTAGTTAAAAACTCAGATAGTATTTGCGGAAAGTCTTATTTATTCGTTATGTTATTGCCAATCATCAGAGATCAGAAATCGGGAAACACTTGCTAAATAATTAGGACTGTGTGCCTCTGAAATCAGACAGACCTGGACACAAGCACTGAATTTGCCATTTGCTAGCGTTGAGATATCTGGCAAGTTACTTAACCTCTCAAAACCTCAAGATCTCAAAATCTTTGCCAAAACAGGAGTTATAACGGTAACTTCCTTATAATGAATAAATAAAATAATACATGTAAGGCACTTACAATGTCCAGCACCTAGTAGGCATCAAATGAACATTACATAGAAATAGTCCAGGAGAAGGCAGATAATGACATTGTGGTCCCCACAAGAAGGTATATCACGCATAAATAAATCACCACAGTAAATGAACTTTTAGAAGATATTATCTGTATTTCTATAAAAACATGGCCACCGTTTCTAGTAACTAGAAAGGTGGGAGAACACTGAAGCAAAGGGCAGTCTATGGTGTAGGAGAAAGTCATGAAAAGCATGTTGCCGGCTGAAATGAGAAATAAATATGAGGAAACACAAAATGCACTACAAAGTTAAAATACATATTGGACACAGCAAACGTGGAGTATTAGCACTATAGTAAATCCCATAATGTATGATGTAAGACAAATATAAAAAGCTCTTCTGGGAAGTAAATGGCAATAGCAAGAATAGCAACAATGGTTAACTTTTGCTGAGTGGTTCTTCTGCAACTGGAGTTCAGCTGACATGCTTTTAACTAATTAGCTACCACAATCATACATCATGCTCCATGCAGGAAAAACTATAGCCACAAGTATTTCAATGTCCCAAAATGATGTGGGGTCCATAAAAGTATTTCTTGTATTATATCAGATCACTGGTCTCTTTCTGGAATTTTCCAAGTATTAGTGAAGTCTGGAAACTAGTGATCAGGGAAACAGCAAAGACTGCGGAACCACTATATTCCAACCTAGAGGAGGATATTCCTACCACACCCACATACACAGAACATTGGCAACCTCGTTTGGCTGGCCCACTTTCTAAATATAATGGAATATTAAAAAGCATTGTATCTGTGGATATATTGGTCTGGCACCATAGTATCACTCTCTTTTTTAATTACAGCAGTCAAAAGGACTTTCTTCCGCGTTGAAATTGGATGCAGAAAATGGGGCAGTGAAGGCACTAGACTTGGGATACTAGAAGGCAACAAATGCCAAAGAAGGTAAAATAATCAAAATATTAAGAGGTTTTAATCATTACTGTAGACTGAATAGTGACCCCTCAAAATTCGTATGTTGAAGTCCTAACCACCCACTGTGTGGCTGTATTGGAGACTGAATCTTTAATGAAGTGACCAAGGCTGATTCAGGTCCCAAGGGTCAAGCCCTGATCAGGTAACACTGGTATCCTTACAAAAGAAGAAGAGGCACCGGAGAACTCTTTTTCTCTAACAAAAGAGGCTACAACAAGAATGCAGCCGTCTGCAAGCCAGAAAGAGAGCTCTCACCAAAAACCAAACCTATGGAAACCTTGATCTTGGGTTTTCTAGCCTTTAGAACTATAAGAAAACACATTTCTGTTGTTTAAGCCAATGTTGTTTAAACCTATGTTGTTTTGTTATGATGGCCTAAACAATTATCTAACTTCAATAAAATTCAATTTGAGGCACATATATTTTAAGATTTTTTAAAACAGTGAGTAGTAACTGACCTCATAAGAAAAAAGTAAAACCTAAACAAACTTGCAACTCTCTTTTTAGATATTTTCTTTGTTTCTAGTCTGTTCTCTTCTCTCTTTTACACTGAATATAACTTTCTGAAAATCCCAAATCCTAGATAGAGTTAAGATACAGGACATTCAAAGAAACTGAGATGGCTTTGACAGGAAGGAAGCATTGATTTCTTTGTCATCTTCTTAATTTTTCTTGATGAATAAAAATGCATATATATCTACCATGGATCATCTACAATCTCTTCCTAAACTGTCCTAATTGCCTAGACATAAGATACCTCCATCTTCTCTTCTTTTCAGCTTCTTTTCACTCACATCTGAGGAATTTGGTGGTTAACTGAGGGTTTAAATCTTCTAGTTTGGACTTAGATCCAGATCCTCCTTAATTAATTAATTAATTTATTTATTTATTTAAATTTTTGAGTGATAGAACACAAGCAGGAGAAGGGCAGAGAGAGAGGGAGACACAGAATCCAGGCTCCAGGCTCCCAGCTGTCAGCACAGAGCCCAACGCGGGGCTTGAACCCACAAACTGCGAGATCATGACCTGAGCCAAAGTCAGATGCTTAACCGACTGAATCACCCAGGCGCCCCAGCTCCAGATCCTTCTTAACTACCCAATACTTCTCCCTAAGTATTTTTGCCTGTTTTCATATTATAACTTGAATGTATGACCCTGAAGACCACCTTCTCTCTCTGTGTTGTGGATTTCAGAGCATTTATTTGTTTAAATATTGAAAAAGTGTCATTAATAATATAATTTAGAACCTTTATTTTCCACATTTCCAGATTTCTTTAAACCTTAAAAGTAGAGTTAATTTACATAGATATCCGACAAATCACTGCAAAAGAAATCTCACTACATTTTTAAATCCCTAACTTGGGTGGCCAAATCAATTTATTTTTTAAAGCATGCTCATCATCCTGTGGAAATGATCTGCTTCAGCTTCAAAATATTCAGAAAATTACATTTGAACTTCAAAATCATTCAGACAATGCTTTTTCTCTTAATGTAGACTTGTTATGATTTGATCATAACAAAATCGTGCTTTGAGAAATAGCCACCCAGAAGGATTCAGGTTCGTGCCAACCCTCCGGGAGGCTGATATACCAAGTAGTCTGAGTCACAGTTTTATCTGCATTAGCAAAGGCAACAGGGGCACTATCCAAAAAGCAATGATTTATCAAGACCAGATTCTCCGTATACTTCCACTGGAAGGAAACATTTCAAAGCTCAAGCATTGTCAGTCACATCCCTTTGTAAAATCATAGCTATGCAGTGTAAGAAAGCCTTTGATGAGCCAAGAACCTTACCTAAAACAGTCTGAGTTTCTTTGCAATATTAGACAATGTTGGCCTATTGAATCTGAACATTTATAATAGCTCCAATAGATTTATTTTTAGGAGAAAGAGCTCAAGTGCCATGCTTCATCTCTTGCTGGAAGTGAGTAGTAGAAGATTCACGATTAAGCTCATAAGCAATAAAGGACTTATTAAAAGCATTGATTTACCCCATTATGAATTTGCCTAACGTATATGTATTGAGTGTACTGAGTGTCCAATTTTTCAAGGTATTTTGCTGAGCACTGAGAGTACAGAGGTGAAAAAAATACAGCCCTGGCATCTTCTCTCAGGAATTAAAAAAAAATTATAATAATCAGTAAGTGCTTTAAAGGGAAACTAAAGAAATTAGGAAGTGCATTACCTTTCCTGATTGCTGAGAAAGTAACTTTCAGAAAGAGACATAAACTGAAACTTTAGGAATCAGTGAGGTTTAACCAGGTAAGGAAGGAAGGGGAAAGGAAGGAAGTACCTTGGGGCAGTGGGGACAAATTCTGAAGATTTCTCTCAGTAGCATCAAGATAAGGAAGGCTGAGAAACTTCCTTGTCATTAAAATTTGAGATCTTTTGAGGATGTTCTAAAATCTTCCTTTTCTTTTCTTACTTTTATATTGTCTTGAAATGGGCAATTAAGGCAATGCTTTACATTCAGGGCTACTCTACCATAAGTAATGTCTAATACCAATACTTGATAGACAGAGATCATGAATATCCATGAATATCTCTACAATCTATTGAGTGCTTACTAAGGACCCAGTACTACACTAAATGTTTTTCACAAATAACCTCACATATTTCCTGCAATCACCTGTGAGATAGTATTAATAGTCTTATTTTTTCCAATGAGGACACTGAAGCCTAGAAAAGTTAGGTACTTCACTTAAGGTCAGACAATTAACATGGGTTAGAGTCATGATGTGAATCCCAAACCCACCCACACTTTTAACCACTTCTGGACACTGCCTATAATAATAAGTGCATATGTTAATGGGGTTGAAGGAAAACAGAAAAGAATTTACCTGAAATATGTCCACAACCCAAATCATTATAAATGGCTTGGTTTTTAATTTTATTTACATTTATTTGGTTTCTATCATAAATTAAACACTGTACTATGCTTTGACTCACAAAAAAATCTCTCTGATTAGTCCTGCCTTTCCAGTTTATGTGAAAATTGTTCTAGAGTTTTTACAGATTACTCTCTCTCCCATTCTTCCTTATATTCTTCCTATTCCTTTGATGCTTGGTTGTCATCACATGATTATAGATAGTACTTTGTATCTCTACATTTTGATTTTTTAAATGTTTATTTATTTTTGAGACAGAGAGAGAGAGAGCATGAGTGAGGGAGGGGCAGAGAGAGAGGGAGACACAGAATCCAAGGCAGGCTCCCGGCTCTCAGCTGTCAGCACAGAGCCTGACGCAGGGCTCAAACTCATGAGCTGTGAGATCATGACCTGAGCTGAAGTCAGGTGCTTAACCAACTGCCCCTGTAGATTTTGAACTGTTTTAAAATGAACTGTTTTAAAAATGAATCAACATCACCACTCAAAACTTATTAGACTAGTTGACACCACTCAAAGGTATTAGACTATCTTCTATATGATGATCTTCTGCAAGATGGAAGCTGTGCCCCAACCTTCTTTGACAAACTTTCTCTTAAGTTGGAATACAGCACTTTCAAAAGACGTTTAAAAATATACTACTCAAATATATGATATGGTAAAATTGAAACATCCTCCCCACCCCCAGCACATAAGACACTGCAATTGCAACTTTAATTGTAACCCAGATAAGGTATCGACATAAACAGTGGCTCTAGTTCCTGATTTGAGAATGATTTTCCAAACATGTAGTTATCTACAAGTAATTAAAGTTAATGAAGTTCAGCAATTCATGTGCCAAATTAGGTATAAAGTTAATGTGTATACATATGTGTATGTAGTAGAAAAGGACTCATTAAGCCACCTATTGTGTATGCTCTTATATTTTGAAAATCAATCCATTTCTCTAGTCTTTACAATTGGAACCACAGCCAATTGGTCATAAAGCATATGTTGAATTATCATTTTAACACGATTCATTACAAATCTACTCCATCTACAGTAAAACAATGCATTAGGCCAGAACAAATTGATATTCCACCATGACCTAGTTGGTAGGTCTTACATTGTCAAACAGATGAACCCCCCCCCCAAAACAGCTGAAGCCGTTCAGATATTCTCCAGAAATAATTTGACTTGTCCTCAAAGAGTAAGTGCCATGTATGGTTTCCAATGGGGCATTAGCAAAACCATTCAACATCGAACAAGGCTCTCATGTTGAAACAGCTGTTCATCCAAAGTGAACATTTTAAAACTTTCTTGGAGCCTAGATAATCTTACTTGAGCTAGAAAATAAGGTATTAGACTATTTTGCATGTTCTACCACTTTATGACAAGAAAGACAATTTTGCACTTCAGTAAAGGCGGATTGCAAATTTAGCATGAATTGAACCAGTAGCTGAGTTGCAATTTATGGTAAATGGCTCATCAGCACATTAATGTATACCACCAAGATAACCACTTCAACCAAGCAGGCCGGAAACTACATGACCCAAATACCTGGTAGGCAGCAAGAAAAATGTGCCCTTCACACACATCTATAAAATGAATCTTAAAACCAAAAGCTACCAAACATTTATCTTCGTTATCATTCTTGTTGGTAGAACGTTAGTAGTTAAAAACCAAAGGCAGAACCATAGGTTCTAAAAGCAAGTTGATTGAAGTTTCAGATTCTGCCAAATACTACTTATGTGACCTTGGGGGAGTTATTTAGTTCCTCTGGGCTTCCGATTTCTCTCCCGGGTAAAATGAGGATAATAACGAAAAGTACTTAGAGTTACTGATGGGTAGTGCTGTGAAGCCCTTGACACACTACCTAGAACATAGTAAACAATCAATAATTGTTAAATATTAATATTATATTGTTATTTCATATTCTAAGACAGAAGTGCGGATAGTCCCTATGAGGTAAAATATCACAATGCAAGTTTCCATTATTTCTATCCTCAGATATTTGCTATATTTTTTCAATAGAACTAAATATTTAATGAATACTGTAACTAAACACCTCAGAAAGGGTTGGAAATGTACGGGAACACTACATTTTGTGCTCTGTTCCAAATTCATCGTATTTCCTATTTCTAGATGGAGACAATCAGCTCCATTCCTTGGAGCAGTGCTAAGAACTAGCAAAAACCCAACTTGCCCAGATCTGGCAATTGTAGGAAGAGATAATTAAAGGCTCCTGTTTAAAAGGGTTCCTTTTGGGCTGATGGATGCTTGCAGAGAGACATAAAATCAGGAATCCTGTGATTTTGTTCTACTGAATAATATTAGTAATTTAAAAAATATTTGCACTTTCCCAACATACAACATACTAAAATTTCTCTTGCATTATAAAGAAGTAAACAATGTCAGCATCCAAAATTCCTCAAGCTTCTGACCCCTTTCAGCTATTGTTCTTCGATCACTGCCAGTTTAGGGGAAAATTGTCTACATTTACTATTCCTGCTTCTTCACCTGTTATTTACTCTTCAACCCATTGTTATTTTATATCCCCTCCTATCTTTCCCTTGAAACTCTTTGTGGATTATTCCAAAAGGAACTTTTTAAAATATGTATCTTACCTACGGTCTCAGCAGTATCTAAAACTGTTGCTCACTTCTATATTCTTTAAATTTTTCCCCTAAACTCCACAATCAAGTCACGTTCCCCTTTCCTTTCTCAGTCGCCAGTCTCTTCTTCTGCTTAATTCTAAAATGCTATCTTTCCATACAGTTCAACTCTCAGACATCTCAATTTTCTCAATCTTTGGGCAAATAAACCTGTCCGGTGGCTTGGATTACCATCTTTATATCAATATTATAAAATCAATGTCTACATCCCAAATTTTTCTCCAACCTGAAGTCCCATATATCTAGGATGATATCAATCAGATATACTAGAAGCATACCAAAATTTTAATTTATTCACTCATATATACACTCACTTATTCATCTAATTATTTAGCACATATTTATTGAATGCTCATTTATATATATGTCAGACACTGTTCTGGGCTCTGGTGATACAAAAGTGGAAGAAAGTCCCCAAATTCTTACCCTTATGGAACCTACATTTTTGACCAAAGTCTAATCTATATACCAATTTGTTCATATGCAATGAACCCAATGTATTTATCCTAACAAATACATCCCTCCTGCTGTATCCTACATTTTTTTTTAAATTTTTTTTTCAACGTTTATTTATTTTGGGGACAGAGAGAGACAGAGCATGAACGGGGGAGGGGCAGAGAGAGAGGGAGACACAGAATCGGAAACAGGCTCCAGGCTCTGAGCCATCAGCCCAGAGCCTGACGCGGGGCTCGAACTCCCGGACCGCGAGATCGTGACCTGGCTGAAGTCGGACGCTTAACCGACTGCGCCACCCGGGTGCCCCAACTGTATCCTACATTTTAAAGACTGGCACACTATCCAGCTAGCTATACAAGCCACAAAACTTCTACTATTCTTTCTACTTCTGCTTTATTCTTTTGTGTCCAATATCTTCAATATTTGTCCAATCGGTCTAGTCTTCTTCACAGCCTTTATAAAGGCAATCAACATTTCTCACTTGGCTACTGCACAGGCTATTAACATTCTCAGACCCACATGCTTATGAATCTTCCCTCTCTCTACTCCCCACTAAAATAGTATTTATGCATTGTTAATCTGATCACATTACTTCCATGCTTATATTCTTTCAGTTTGAACTCTACTGTTTTCAGGGGGGGAAAAAAAACAAAACCTTAAAATACTTACATGGCAGCGTAATACTCTACGTGATCTGGGCCCTGCCCCCCCCCCCCCCCGTCAGTCTCATCTCCCCGTTATTTTCAAACCCTCCACTTAACCACTCCGGGTACCCTCGTGTAGCGTATGCTGTTGGTGACTGTCTGTATTTATTTGGTTTATCCAGTATATTACTCCAGACAAGATGATGGCTTGCTGCTTTTCTCTGACTAAGGGGCACTCTGTCTACAGAAGCTTGATCTGGGGGGAGGGTTGGACTCGAAGTTCAAGAAAGCTAACATCCCTTGAGTAATCCTAATTAACAAGAGGCAAGAGTTGGTAAATAAGTATCCTGACTTCTTTGTCAGTGGTGGGACAGTTCTGACGTGTGTTCCTCACATACTCTGAGAGAACCTCTAGGATGATGAGTACACAGTGGTAAATCTGCTCATTAATCATACTTTATTGCATTTCTGTCCTTTACATCTTACTTTCCTTACAGTGCTTCTGGGGATCGCCTAAAAAAAATAAAGTGCTTGGACACAAATCCTTGCAGCAGAACTCTGCTTTGGGAAAAACCCAATTAAAACACCTGGACTCTAGCAGGATACCATCATTTAGTTCTACAAGCATCAGCTGTATTGTCTTGCCTCTGGATCCTTGCACATGCCTTCTTTCCCCCATCTTCGTTGCCTCCCTTTTATGCTTTCAAAGGCAGTACTCAGCTATTGATTTCTCTGAGAAGTTTAATGTGACACACCCACCACCATTATCAGAATACGCCACCACAGACATGCTAATCTGAACTGCTATACCTTTACACAGCATTTTATGCTTTTTCCTAGCCTACCATGTAGCATACTGTGTGAGTGCCCCTCCCAAATATGGGTTCCTTAGGACTGCAGGGCTCTTATGTATTCCTTTCCCCACTAACTAGCACAGTACCAAGCACTAAGAGATCTCCAATAAAAATAAGTCAAACGAGTAATAAATAAAAGATGAGCAAACTGTATTGAAATAAATCAACAACAAAATCATTCCTTCCTGTACACTCAGAACAGCAAAAATGAGTCTCACACAATGTGTCTCAGGAGATAAGTAGTTGGCAAAGCTATATAGCCAAAAGCAGAGCATTTAAATCCACTTGAAAACCAGATGACAGTCATTTATTCTATCCAGATTATACTTCCTGGGCTACTATAGTAGTTAATGAACTGTTTAATGAGTCAATCCTGGAATATTAACGATAACTGGAATTAAACGCCTTTCCTCTCCCGTTTCAGACATCTGCTTGTTTAAAAATATGACTGAAAGATTACTATTGAATAGAAGAGCATCACCTCCTAGATCAACATCTACCTTCCTCTTGCCCTCTGCTGCTACACAGGAAAAGCGTGAGGCTGGTGAGCACCAACCTGCCTGTACAAGAGCAAAGCAATGGGAAATGGGAGTCTCTCCTTGAAACCACATGAAACATGTAGCCAGAGGCTGAAATAGCTTGTTTAACAAGGACTGGATTTTTCCTCTCAATCATAGTTCTAAAGCTATCAGTTATTGAAAAGCTGATTTTCAAAGCACACACTAGAACAGCTTTTCTGTACAGCTGCAATGCTATTTAAATCTTCCATGAATATATCCACAAACCCAAGAAAATTCTAAGCTGAAATATTGCTCTTAGAGAGGACACACTAAAATAAAACCCTATGGGGGAAAAAATCCAGAAGTGAAATATGGTCATTAATTTTAATATTGGAATTATAAAATCAGGCATATGGCTTCTATTCCTCCAACCCAGAAGAGCCCTTGAAATCACTATTTGGAAGGTCAGCCTTTAAGGTTCTTTTGTGAGACTCTTTGATGGACATTACCCGTCTGCCTCACATCCATTCTTTAATACACTTCAGAAATGTGGATAAATGTCCCACCTAGTGCTATGGTGAGGTTAAAAGTAGATGTAGAATATGCAGTAAAGGCAATGCTTTGGAGACACAAAACTGATCAATAGGAGGCAAGATCATCCTTGGAAAGAAATGACTCTTGAACTCAACTTCCTGCTCCGCAGTAAATCTCAAGTCCTTATCTGCCACACCATTCTCAAAGAATCCCCAGTACCCCTCTGGTGATCCTGGCAACACTGATGTCACATTTTAATTTCCCATTACCAGCCATATCATTCCACTGAAGCCATTCAGGCTGCCATTATAGTATTTTATTTATAGTGTTGATACTTCTTTGAATTTCACCATAGTGGAAACTTTTAGACTCTAGCCAGCACGTTGCAGTCTGAGTTTCCTTCACTTAAAGCATTCAATTTCATCAAATTGCCTACCAAGTGAAATTATATTGAGCACTGGTCACTATAATATTTTGGAGCCATTTGTTTGGAGGCTGTTGATGAAAACACGCTGACACTATATCTTAAAAAGTTCACTGCAATCACTGACCAAAGGAAACCCATGATAAGAATTGTTCCGTGCCCCATCAAGTATTGCGTAGCCCTGTGGTTCACATCTGCCATCTCTTAACCCCCAATATAATGGACTCTCCAGGCCAGGGCCAAATGAATGCTTGCTAAATTACTGATTCACTTCAAATAATGAAATGACACACTATCCCGTGAATATGCCAGGATGATTATAAGACATAAGGTAAGGGATGTACACAGCCTCAATACCTAGCACAATTCCTGGCACAAATTAACACTCAACAGCTATTTGTTGAATGAACACATAAATGAATGTGCAGAAGCTGAGGTCCTGATGTTTAAGAAAGACTTACCAAACACCGGTGTATTGAAAGTTCCACCCAAATGTCTTGAATCATCATTTGACCATAAAGCACGGATATAAAGCTCAGCAGGACCAAAGAAAATTGGGATCGGATCCATATTCTAAAGCATTGTGGAGTTAATAAGTAAAAAGCTAATGCCATTTTGAGATTTTGTTATGCTATGGAAACCTGCGGGTCCCTTGGTTTTAAAGTAATTTTCCAGCATACTAAAAGCAGAACTTTTTTCTCATGTTGTTCTTTCCTTTGTTTCCATAGGAAACAGTGACTTCCAGGCATCTGAGATGACACAACATAGATTGCCAAATTGCATGCCACCCTGCAGTTGCCAAGGAGATAATGTATGTCATTCCTACAAATAACATGTTGCTCACGCCTTCATTTCCTTTATCTAGCTTTTTAAGATATTCTTCGCCTGAACTGAATTCAGATAACGTTCCCTGTGAACTGATGGAAACATTCCTTTTTTAAAAATGTGTTTACCCCATTCCCCCAAGACACTTGATAGCATCACACATGCTGTCTGTGGAAGGTCTGAGCATATTTTATGCTGATTTTGGAACCAGTGATTCAGCAGTTTTCACTGGAAAAAAAAAATGCATCCTGAATTCTGTCTGCTTGCATTCTAAGTAAAGGTTCAATTAAATCCACACCTGGCACTAACATATTCCAGTTTGAAATGGCCTACCACAAAAGCAGCTGTACTCAGTTGAATTTACATAGGAAGGAAAAGAAGGAAAAGAGTTCTAGCAAGGAAAGGAGGGAAAGATGGATGGAAGGAAGGGAGAAAGGAAAGGACGGAGGGAAGGCAGAAGAGTGGGAGGAAAGCAGGAAAACATGTTTACTGAGCACTTACAGTACTCCAGATTAAACATCCATAAGATGAACCAACAGAATTAGAGAAATTAAACATCTCGGCTGACACCATCCCACTAGCAAGAGGTAGAGTCAGTATTTGAACTCGAGTATGTCTGCTTTTTAAAAAGAATGTGTTTCCCACTTATCTAGTACATAACAAATCACCCCAAACAATCCGTTTTATGGCTTTGGAGGTTGACTGGACTCAGCTAGGCAGCTGTCACTCAGTGTCTCTCAGGTGGTTTCAGTCAGAGTGGCTGGGACTGGAGTCACCTTGAAGGTGTCCTCACTCACATTTCTGGCAGTTGATGATGGGCCTGTCAGCCAAAATACCCTACCTGTGGTCTCTCCATGTGGTCTGGGCTTCCTTACAGCATGATGGCTGGGTCCCAGTAAGGAGTCTCAAACGAGCCAGCGTCGATGTCATATAGCATCACTTCCACTAGGCACAGAGCCCTCCCACCCCCTTGCCAACTAGATTCAAGGTTGAGGTAACACAGACTCTAACCAACATTGTAAGAAATGCATGTCAGATAACCAGTGGAGGAAGGAGCCTTAATACAACCACCTTGAAAAATGTTTTCTGTCACAATGTACTTCTTGCAATACTCAAAATGCTTCAAACAGCCTGAGCTCCAGGCTTCACGGATCTCTTTATGTGGTTGGTAGAGTTAAGTGGGGGAGGGAACAGTTAAAATTACCAGTTTTGAAAGAGGAATGGAGCAACTTTTAATGTCAGCTTGATGAATTGTGAAAAAAAAAAAAAACAAAAAAACCTGAACATTGAAATTAAACTTTGGAATGAGTTCCTGATTATTTTTTTGTGTGCTTAGCAGAATCCCTTTTTACTCATGCATTGTCAATTTTCAAAGCATTTGGTTAACATAAAAACTAACTCTACACTAAAATTATATTGTGGTAGATTCAAACATATGTTAGCACTATCTAATATTACCAAAGAGCACTTTCATCTAATTCAGCTTCTTGGTTCTTTTTGTCCCTAGATAAATGGGAGTTTCCTACATGAATTATAGGTTATACCTGCTCACGTGGGGCATGCATATGTGGAAATAGTAGCACCAAATGAATGGCTGTTACAAAGGCTAACAGTCTATGTGGAGCTATGTTCTTGTCATTTTAATCTATAACCAACCATGAATGTATCAGGAGCCTTCTGGCTAATGCCTTTCTCTTCTGTGCACTCTTTCAAATTGTTCTAAGAGTGAACCTAGCTAGGCCTTACATCATGAGACCACCCAGCTGATCCGAAACAGCCATAAGCCCTCCATTGAACATCGAATTTGTATTTCAACCATTAAAATAATCAAATTTGTTTATCCTCTAGAAATCTATGAAACTATTATCATAAATAAAGAGAACCTCAGCCAGAAAATAAGATATTAATGACATGAAGAAAGAACACCATGGAGTGAGCACAATAATCGGATTGTGGAGAGCTTTCCAACTGAGGAAGAACATTATGGTGAGCTAGTGAAAAAGCAACAAATTCTGTCTCATTGTTTGCATTGCTGAGAGTATACGATTGTGCTTATTCTACTGTGCTAGCAGATTGATCTGGAATAAACATATATAATGTACATATTTGATGTAGCTATTTCTGAACTGACCAGCTCTATCATGAATCAGGCTGCACCACGCAATGCTAAATTAGGTCTAACAAGCATACCATAATCCCCAAAAAACAGCAGAGTTCTTTCTTTGCCGTATAAGTCCGGCATTACTCTCAATCAGCCCAACATATATGATGAAATCTTAGGATATCCTCAATTAGGGCTTGACAAAAAAAAAAAAGAAAGAAAGAAAGAAAGAAAGAAAAAGAAAATTGAAGTGCTCGGGTAACACACAAGGCAATGCCAGCAAGTGACATGGACAAAAAGACTTCTTATTCAGTATTTCTCTTCTCACTTTCATACTTCTGATTTCACCCCACATGTTTCAGCTCCCAATTTTACATCTTTCTGTATCTGGTTCTGTTTTGTTTTTCCACCATGAGAAAGAGCATCTAATAACAAAATCCTTGAAAGTAAAGCAGCAGTATTGATCCGTCTTACATTATAGAACAATTGGCCTGTACCTTCCACCAACACTGCAGCACAATAAAGACTTGAGATCTTTTTACTTCCCTGTTTTCTTCAATTTTATGTGCCTTGGAACTTAGAAGCTTCATAATGCTATGATTTCCAATACTGTGAGTAGTCTAGCTGCATTTAATGACTGCAAAATGTCTGGATAGTAACCAGGAAGTTAATTGTAGCCAATAATTATCTAAAATGGTCTCATGAGGTCCTGAAATCCCCTTTTGATTATAATTTTAAACTTTAACCCCATTATACAATGCCTATTAAAGTCATAAATATCTAGATTATAATTTTAAATAATTAACTTAAATCCTTTTGCAAATTTTCATTGCTAGAAAACTGCTTTTTACATTTGCTCTGTTGTTAAGGTGGCTATCTCGTCTATTGGTCAAGCCAGGATATTTTTGTCCTAAACAAAGGCTAAATTGGGTAAACCACAAGGACAAAGTCAACCTACCCATTATACATTAGTTGAAAAAAAAAACAATAAAAATTTTCAATTTGCTAGGAATTTGAAGACCACAGGGGGAAAAAATGTACATTTCATTCAAAATATGATTTTAGGTTTTTCCATATTCTATCTCAATGTGCTTCAAAACCTTTCTTTAAGGTATTTTTAGTAATGAAATTGATAAAATAAATTTGGCTACAGCACAAAGGATATTACCCATTGCAAACGTGCAAAAGTGAATGATTTACATAATTTTGAAAAATGAGTACAATCCATAAAGAAACACTGTGGGGAAAAAGGTCGAAGAGAAAAAGAACTTAAATACTGGAAGTACTAAAGGAGAGATTCATTTTTTTAATTAACCAAAAACAAACAGGATTCACCACATAAAATCTAATTCTATTTTTATGAATCGCTCAGGGATACTAATATAACTTTCTGTCAGCAGATCAAGTCCCCATTGACCGTAATCTATTTCAGTCCCGAAATGTATTCTTGCTTTGTGGATAATAGGTAACCTCCTTGGTGCCATTTTTAGATCAGCCCATCGGCAAACATTAAGCAGAAAGCATGTTAACATTTTTTAGGATCAGCTAAGCCTTTGGCAAAGTGGGTTTCTTGCTTGCAGAAGCAGCATAGTAAGCTAACCACAGGGGAGCTGATGCTCTGCGTCTGTATAAGCCTCAGCTTCTTCAAGTCAAAATAAAATAAATAAACTAACAACACAGTCCTACTGAGAGTATTATGATGCCCATAGAGGATATGTTCCCATCGGCCCCAGGCACACTGAGTACCGGTCCAAGGTTTTGACATTCTTGGCTCCAACCTAAATTCTTGTCTTGAAAACAAATAAACTTAAAAAATGCTAATCACTGTAATCACCAGGATAATTTCTAATTACCTATTTTGCTGTCAAAAAGAAAAAGTTGATAAAGGAAATTGTTAAGTCAGATCTAGGCCTCATCTTCACCTCAAAAGACTGCCTTTGACTTTTTAAACCATTCTTAACCAGTGCAAATGGTGTTTTCATATGGTTCAACTTAATACAAACTGACTTTTGTCAAAACAAATTGCAGGCCCATTTGGTCATGGAAGGGAAAGCCATGAAGGTCAAGTGCTCAGCCCATGCTCCCTCCATTCATCACTGCTGTCCATGTTTTGTTTTGTTTTTTAAGTTTATTTATTTTGAGAAAGAGAGAGAGAGAGAGGTGGGGGGCAGAGAGAGAGAGAGGGAGAGAGAGAGAATCCCAAGCAGGCTTTGCTCTGTCAGCAATGCACAAACCATGAGATCATGACCTGAGCTGAAACCAGAGGTCAGACGCTTAACCAACTGAGCCACTCAAGCACCCCAGTCCTCATGTGTTTGTGGTGGATCTGCCCTAAGAATATAACTATCAAGTTCCTATATGGTTGTCCAGCTCTTGCTTACTTTCTGTGGAAGCATCTTTGAAGCTCCATGATGCCTTCTTTTCTCACCTTCCAAACAGGATGCCTTTCTAAGAGCTTCTCCATTCAAACCCAGCTCTCAGAAGGGTATTGATTGTACCCTTCTCCCACATAGAATCAGAGGACGTTTCCTTGCATTCCACATATAGTCTGAACAGCATAGTTGAGCAGGACTCTCACTTCCCATCTAGTGGCCTGTCTATATCAGTAGCCAGAGTAACCCAAACAAGACTAAGAGTCAAAGGCATGGCCCATGAAAAAGGAAGGGATAATAGTTGCTTCATACAGGAGACTTCCACAGAAACCAGGTGTTTGGGGTCAAGAAATGAGACATGCAGATTTCCTTCAGTAATCTCCAAACTTGGTGTGGGCCTCAAAAAGTGAAAAAGCAATACTGGAATGGGTATTTGGGGTTTTTCTCTATTATTGTGATCATCTAGGACTTCTCTTTCCTGTCATTATTATTATTATTATTAATGCACTGCAGAGACCACATTGCATTCATTCATTCTTTGATCCATTGACTCAGTCAGCCAGTATTAGATGAGCATTTACTGGGTGCCAGGCTCTGTGCTAAACAGTGGTCGAAAAGTTCATATTCTTAAAGACTTTTTAAAAAATCTGTCCAGATGTTCACATATGCACATAGCTGATTAAACTAAAAACAACACTATACCCATTTTGTATGTGAAGAGTTGACATTCCACTATTTGGATACAGAGTCCATACCACATTTTGCCAAGTTCTCTTTGAAAATGTTAATCCTCAAGTGCCAACGATGCGGCTGAAGAGACAGTACACATGTGCTAAGTGATGGGGATCCTTCTTCCTTCATATCTCCTCCCTTTATTTTAATGGTACAACTTTTCATTTTCAAGGGACCCCTTGATGTCCCCATTAAACTGATTAGGCTTAAACAATCTTTTCAGGGAGGCAAAAATAGAGAGCACTAACAGAGAAACTAAACCACACACACATCCTCACACCCCCATTCCTTTCTCTTTTTTTTAATGTTTATTTATTTTTGAGAGAGATGGAGACAGAGTGTGAGCAGGAGAGGGGCAGAGACAAAGAGACACACAATCCAGAGCGGGCTCCAGGCTCTGAGAAAGCTGTCAGCACAGAGCCTGATGCAGGACTCAAACTCACAAACTGTGAGATCATGACCTGAGCCGAAGTTGGACGCTTAACCAACTGAGCCACCCAGGTGCCCTGTCCGTTTCTTTCTTTAAATCCCTTAAAGACAGCCTTTTCTCTGACTCTGGAGCCCACAACTGTTATCTTTCTTTTTTTTTTTATGTTTATTTTTTCAGAGAGGGAGAGAGAAAAAGAGAGAAAGAGAGACCATGATCAGGGAAAGGGGAGAGAGAGAGAGAGACTCTCTGAAGCAGGCTCCAGGCTCCAAGCTGTCAGCACTGAGCCTGATGTGGGGCTTAAACTCGTGAATCGCGAGATCATGACCTGAGCCAAAGTCAGGCACTTAACCAACTGAGCCACCCAGGTGCCCCACAACTGTTTTCAATAAGTCAAACAAAAAAACAAGTGAAAGTAATTTTTTTTAAGTTTTTAGGTTTTGGTTTGTTTTTTTATATATTAGAGAGAAAGAGAGCATGTGAGCAGGGGAGAGGGTCAGGAAAGAGAATCTTAAGCAGGCTCCATGCTCAGCACAGACCCCAATGAGGGGTTCCATCCCATGAACCCTTGAGATCATGACCAGAGCCAAAGTTAAGAATCAGATGCTCAATGCACTGAGCCACCCAAGTACCCTTAAATTTTTGTTTTAGTCAAATTCCACCCCCCCCCCCCCAAAAAAAAGAGAGACCGAGAAAGAGCTTGAGAGAGAAACCAAATTCACTGGACTACATGGTTGGGAGTCATGAGACTGGAGAGAATAAATAAGTCTCCATGCTAGTCATCTATATGAAGATGTTGGAGTTACAAAAATTGAAGTCAAAGTACAAGAGAGAGAAACAGATGGAGAAAGAAGAGAATCTTGCAGAATAACTAAGGAATATGAAAATTGAGGGTCACTAATAAGAGAGGCTTTGTGAAAGCATAAGATGTGTTATTCAGGCAATGAAGCTAGGCAGGTGAAGAATCTCGTGAAATCTGAAATCCTAGAACACAGAAAACCATGTCCTGCCATAATATCTGAGTGGAAAGTGCCCTCCCCTTAAATTGACCAAAATAGATAATAATCTTTGACCAAGGATATTTTTATGCATAATATCCTCTAATTCATTTAAGTGAAATGAAATAAGTAATACGCAAACTGATAATTCTTGAAACTTCTGAAACATCTGAGGCTGAGTGAAAAGCTAGAGATTTAGCTATGTATATTATGTTGTGAGAAATTAGTCCCTCAAAATAGCAAAAGGGAAATTGGCAGCTTAGCTAAATAAACCAGAAGGAATGAATAATCTTACATAGTAGCTTAGGGAAAAGAATTTGCTGGAAAATGTAGCTAAACATTGAGGGAATTTGTTT